CTTTCAACCAGTTTGGATCTCAAGTGAGTCTCTTGTAAACAGCATATAGAGTTGGGTCAGATATTTTTATCCGTTCTGCCAATTTCTGCATTCTGACCACAGAGTTTAATCCATTGACATTTAAATTACTGATAAAGAGGAACATCTGTCATTTTGTTATTTGTCTTCTCTATGCTTACAGTTTTTTTATTCCTCATTTCCTGTTATACTGTCTACTTTTGTGCCTAGTCAATTTATTTTTTGTAGTAAAATGTTTCAATTACTTTCTCATTTCTTTTGTGGATACCATGGAGATTACACTGAATATCCTAAAATTATACATTGTATTTTGAATTTATACAAGTTTCTTCATTTGAATTCGCCATACTTTTCCTGTTTCTTTGTATGACTTCTAATTTTTTTGTTGAACACTGAACATCTGAATCAAAATGTAGCTCTGGAAATCAGATTCTCTTTCTCAGCGATTGCTGTTTTTAGTTTCTGTTTTTGTTTTTCTGATTGTTGTAGTCTGTGCTGAGGTTCAGCCCAAGGTATAAATTTAAGGACTTCTTAGGTCTTTTCTGAGCTCTTCCTGGGCATTCAGTCAGTTTCTGTTTTTCCTCACCTATGCAGTTGTTTTGAATGTTTTAGTATGTAATATCTGGCTCCAAAAAGGGAAAAAGAGAAAAATGAAAGGTGGCGAAAAGTAAACCAGCTCTTCAAAGTAAACCAGACTTCTCCTGGAAGCCACTTTATGTGGAGGGGGAGGGGCTTGCAACAATGTTGGGAGGTACAACTAATCAAAGCACAGATCTCTGATATTTGGAGAACAGGTCTCTTTTGCCCATTCTGGCTCTTTTGCATTGTATGTAAACTGCTCCATGAACACATGCACAGCTGCATGCCATGTGGTGGGGGTGGGGGATGGGTAGCTGCCCTGTGCTAAGAGCTGAAACTGACTGAAATTTACCACTATTTACCATTTAAGCCTTCCTCTGGAAGTTGAAAGCCTTCAAAGGACTCCAGAATTCCAATTCTCTCTGATGTATCAGATAGATTCTACTAGTACAATTGTTGCCTAGGTGGAGGGACAGATTCTTGGTGTGCCTAGTCTGTCATCTTTCCAAAATCATCTAGGCTTAGCTTTTTTTTTTTTTTTTTTTAATTTTTGTATTTACTCATTTGAGAGTGAGACAGAGAGAGCACAAGCAGTAGTGGGAGACTCCCTGCTGAGCCAGGAGCCCCACATGGGACTCCATCCCAGGACCTAGAGACCATGACCCAAGCTGAAGGCAGACACTTAACCATCTGAGCCACCCAGGTGCCACTAGGCTTAGCTTTTTTTTTTTTTTTAAGTTTTTTTTTTTCTTTTTTTTGACAGAGAGAGAGATCACAAGTAGGCAGAGAGGCAGGCAGAGAGAGAGGGGGAAGCAGGCGCCCTGCTGAGCAGAGAGCCCGATGCAGGGCTCAGTCTCAGGCCCCTGAGATCATGACCTGAGCTGAAGGCAGAGGCCTAACCCACTGAGCCACTCAGGTGCTCCCCTAGGCTTAGCTTTTAAGGAATTGCCAAACTGTTTTCTGTGGCAAAATATCTCTATTTTTACATTCCCACCATCAAAGTATAAGGGCTCCAATTTTTCCACATCCTAACCAACACTTGTTTTTGTCTTTTTCTATTACAGCCATCTTGGTGGGTGAGAAGTTGTGTCTTAAGGAGGTTTCCTAACAGCTAGAAATGTTGAGCATCTTTTTATCCATTATTGGCAATTTGTATATTACTGGAGAAATGTCCATTCATATCCTTTGCCTACTTGAAAAGTTGGGTCATGTCTTTTATCATTTGGTCATAGACACTCTTTATATATTCTGGATACTAGTCCTTTATCAGTTATATCATTTGAAAATATTTTCTCCAAGTTGGCGGGTGGTCTTTTCACCCTCTTAATGGTGTCCTTGGAAGCAGAAAAGTTTTTAATGTTGTTATAGTCTAGTTTATCTATTTTTTCTTTTGTTGTTTGTGCTTTTGATGCCATATCTATGAAATCACTGCCAACTAAGAGATCATGGAAATATATGTCTATGTTTTCATTATGAGTCTTATATTTTTATCTCTTACATTTAGGCCTATGATCCATTTTGAGTTAGTTTTTGTATATGGTTTGAGGTAGTGGTACAATTTCATTCTTTTACATATGGATATCCAGTTTTCTCAGCAAAGTTTATCATAAAGACTATTTTTTCCCTATTGAATTTTCTTGGCACCCTAATAAAAAAGATCCTTAGATCTTAAATGTAAATGTTTGTTTCTGAATTGTGAATTCTATTTCATCAGTCAGTATCTCTCCTATCCCAGCACCACATAGTCTTAATTACTGTAGCTTCGTAGTAAGTAGGTGAAATTAGGAAGTGTGAGATCTCCAAGTTTGTTCCTTTTCAAGATTATTTTGGATATTCTAAATCCCTTGAATTGTCACATTAAGTTAAGGATCAGCTATCAATTGTCAACAACTGTAAATCTGCAAAAAAAAGACATCTAGGGGGGCGCCTGGGTGGCTCAGTGGGTTAAAGCCTGTGCCTTCGGCTCAGGTCATGATCCCAGTGTCCTGGGATCGAGCCCCGCATCGGCTCTCTGCTCAGTGGGGAGCCTGCTTCTTCCTCTTTCTCTGCCTGCCTCTCTGCCTACTTGTGATCTCTGTCTGTCAAATAAATAAATAAAATCTAAAAAAAAAAAAAAAGGCAGCTAGGGTTTTTATAGCAATAGTATTAGTAATCTGGGGAGGACTGCCACCTTAATGACATTAAGTCTCCTAATCCATGAACATGGGATATTTTTCCATTCATTCAGGTCTTCAATTTCTTTTAGTGATGTCTTGTAGTTTTCAGTGATAAGTCTTGCACTTCATTTGTTAAATTTAATCCTTAATATTTTATTCTTTTTATTCATTGTAAGTGGAGATTTTTTGTAATTTCAATTTCAAAAATATCATTACTAGTATTTAGAAATACAATTGACTACTGAATATTGATCTTTTATTCTACAACCTTGCTGAACTCATTTATTAGCTCTTAGCTATAATAGTTGATGGATTCCATGTATTATAGAATATATATATATATTATGGTGGATTCTATATAATCTATATATATTCATGTTATCTACAAATAGACATAATTTTACTTTTTCTGTTCCAATCTGGATGCCTTTTCTTTCTTTTTCTTTCCCAGTTACCCTGGCTAGAACTTCTAGTACATTGTTGAAAAGAAGTGGTAAAAGTGGGCATCCCTTGTTTTGTTCCTGATCTTAGAGGTAAAACATCTGGTTTTTCACCATAAAATATGTTTTTCCTAGATGGCCTTTACCAATTTGAAGAAGTTCCCTTCAAGTTCTAGGTTGTTTAGTGTTCTTATTATGAAGGGTATTGAATATTGTACTATACTTTTCCTGCATGTATTGATAATTATGTGGGTTTTTTCTTTTACTCTATTAATATGGTAGTGTATTACCTTGATTGATTTTTGTATGTTGAATCACTCTTGCACTCCTGGGGTATATATTACTTGGTTATATATAACCATTTCATATGTTGATGGGTTCAGTCTGCAGTCTGCAGTATTTTTTTTTTTTTATGTTCATAAGAGATACTATTCTGTCATTTTCTTTTCTTGTGATATCTATGTCTGGTTTTGATATCAGGGTAATACTGGGCTCGTATAATGAGTTAGGAGGTATTTTACACCCCAATTCTGTTTTGTTTTTTTGAGAGGGGTAAAGAGTTTGGAAGATATTGGTTTTAATTCTTCTTTAAATACTTGGTAGAATTCACTAGTGAATCATCTGATTCTGGGCTTCTCTCTTTTTTTTTTTTTTTACATTACTACTTCAGTGTATGTATACATATTATCATACATTGCATTATTATATATATTATTTTACACTGCATTACTATACATATTATTATACAGTACATTATTACACATATACATTATATATAAAATGGTTCTATGTCATTGGGATTTTCTATTTTTTTTGAGCCAATTTCAGGAATTCTCATCTTTTTAGGAATTGTTCATGCCTTTCTCATTTCTGTAAGATTCAATTCTAATGGTTTCTCTTTCATTCCTGTTTTTAGTAATTTGAGATTTCATTCTTCTTGGTTGGTCTGTCTAGCTAAAGGTTTGCCAGTTTTGGTGATCTTTTTGAAGACTGCATTATACTGTAGAAAAATGTGATCAAGAAGCAGAAGATCATGAGCCTATGCTTACCTAAATCAACTACATTATGTTAATTGAATATGTAGGAAGATATTCCTTAAAATGCCTTTAGAGTAAAAGAATAAATTTAGTAAGCAGAGTTTTTGGTAGTTTTAGGAAGATTGAAGAGTGCAGCAGTGAGACAGATTGTATACCTGCGCACTGTCTTCCAATCTGGGAGACCGTGAAACCTGCATTTACCACCAAGTGACATACACATTGGCCAGGGAATTACAGGCTGCTGTAGGAGTCCATGGAGGTCATGTGACCTGGTGGGCTGTCACTGGAGAACCTGCAGCTTGGCTGTGCTACCTCTATTGCTACCCAGCCCTTTCTGGCTGCCCACACCCAGGATCTCGGGAGGCTGCAATGCCAGCTAGCTTGGTGAGCCCCTTAGGGCCCCATGGACATGGGGCTGGTAGGCGTGGGGCATGAAATGAAGGCAGATGGAGATCGGTAAGTTTGGGTGGCCAGGTCTTTACCAATGGACCGTGGGCTGAGTTCCACCTTTCTTCTCATCCCTGCCGACCTGGTGTCCTCCAGCTCTGAAGGCGGGGAGCAACATGGGGCAGGAGCAATACCAAGTATCCTGCCCTGGTGGGTTAGGGGGCCTATCAGTGGCCCACACCCCATCAAGCCTCCTGGAGGCAGGTGAGACACAAGAGGGAAACTGAGTCCCAGAGGTAGATCAAACGTGCCTAAGGGAGTTGGCCAAGTTCCCCAAGGGCTACAGCCAGCCCAACTGATGTCTCTTTCATTATGCCCCATAGCATTTGAAAACAGCTTGGGCTCTGGCTGGCTTGGTGGGAAGAGGAGGAGTCCCCTGCAGATGCTTTATGACTTGGACCAGGTAGGTGGACAGACCCCTATCCAGTGATGCCTCCTCCCTCTACCTCCAGCCACAGGAAACTGAGAACTGAGTTTCCAGTGTAGACCTTCCATCTTGGGATTGGAGCCCACAGTTGGACTTAAAGAGGCTTCCTCTGCAAGTCAAGGCCCTGTGAAGAGAGGAAAATGCCTGTGACAAGGGCAAATCTTAGAACAAGCTAAGAGACCTGGTCTCCACCCACCCACCCACCCAGCCGCCTACCCATCCATCATCTACCCAACAACAGGCTGAAGTCACACGTGCCAGGCACTCTGCCATGTGTTGAGGATATAAAAGAATAAAGGACCTTCAGGAAGTTGACAGTCTAGTGGGGAGACAGGAATTAGGTGACCCCCCCCAGATCTTAATACCTGCTGTGATAGGGAAACATGCAGGGAGCCCTTGCCCTCGTGCTGTTCTCAGGCACCGGGACCAGGAGGCTTGCTGTCTCAGGCATTCCACTTCTGCTGTGAACCATGCATAGCCCAAACACACACACAGACCCCACTGAGAGCCACAGGCTCCTGGCTCCCACACACATCAGCAGGAACGAGGAGAGGCACCCATTCAAACAGCATGTATAGAGCACCTACTGTATGCAGGCTGTGCTCGGGATGCTGCTGATCCAGTGGCAAGCAGGTCAGCTGGGTCCCTGACCTGTGTAGCTGACCTTCTCAGGTGAGGAAGACATCATCCCATCATTGCCATCTGCACTAACCTGTGGCTGATTTGCATCTAAAGGGACAGTACAAGGTGCGGCAAGAGATTACTGGGAGGGTCCTAGTTTAGATCAGGGAGAGAGATCCTCTCCGAGTAAGGGACATTGGAGCTGAGACTTGCTGGGAAGGAGTTAAGATGCAAAGAGTAAGGGGGGGCTGCATGCCTGGTGGTGGACAGATGACAGAAGAGGCTGTGTGAGGCCAGGAGTGGGCATCAGTTTGGCAGGGCCTGGCAGGTGGGACAAGGGCCACAGGGAAGTCAGGTTTTGAGCTGGGAAGAATGATCAGACAGTTTGGGCAGGTAGCTGTTCACTGAATCCCAGAGGGCTGAGCCAAGGGGGTCTGTGGAACTTCTCTGACCCACGCCCTTGGATTGCAGGTATGGAGGCCTTGGTTCAGAGAGGGTAACAGGCTTGCCCTGGGCCACACAGCAAGCTGAGGGCAGGCTAGGCTCTCAGCAGGATCCTGGTTCCACTAGTTCCACAGGCTTCTGAGGGGCAGATGGGGCTGGCTCAGCCCCCTCACAGCCTGAGTTCCCACTGATTGTTGGGTGTCAAGGCCCTGGGAGCTTAGTACCTTGCAGCTGGAGAAAAAAAGAGTAATAAAAATAATCTGGCCAACGAGGGCTAACTGTGTACCAGACAGTCTAGTTCAGTGAACTTACTTAGTCCTCATGGCAACCCTATAAAGTGGGGCTGTTGGTATCCCTGTTTACAGATGAGGAAATTGAGGCACAGGGAGGCCAAGGGTACAGAGAAGGCCACAGAGTTCATAAGGATTAGAGCCAGGCTAAGAATCCAGGCAGCCAAGTCCAGTCAGGCGGGGAGAGATGAGGATTGTAGCTGCAGGGTTTATTCCTGTACTGGTGGGCATAGCCCAGCTTCTGAGTCCCAAGGGACCTGCATTGGGAGTCCCAACTCCCCTACTTGAGAGCTATAGGCAACTTATTTCTTCTAAGCCTCAGTTTTTTTCATTTGTATGGAGATAATATTAACTATCTTGGTATTTATGGGGCTTCAAGCAACAGAAAAGCTGACTTTAAGCCATTAGGACAGTCAGTGTTTACTTCCCAAGATGCCCAGAAATCAGCAGCCCTTGGTACAGCAGCAGCATGTTGCCCAATATCACCCTCTGAATGTTGACATATGGTATATCTTGTTGCCTCACAACTCCAAGATGACTGCCAGGGCTCTGGACATCTCACAGGATGGTACCCCAAGCAGAAAGGGAGGGGCTGAGGCAAAGATTTTTTTCCTTCAGGAGCCCTCTCTTTTTGTACTGAAGGTAAGTCTTTCCTGGGAGACTAGCAGACATCCCTGTACATCTCCTTGGCCCAAACCACGCCACATGTCCACCCCTGGACCCATAGCTTTCATGAAGTTGTGTGAGGCTGCTATGACTGGTTCTTCCCCAAGGCTCTGCACATGACCGTAAGTGGGGTCTGCTGGCAAGGAAGGAGGGTGAGTGACAGTTGGGTGGATGGCCAACTTTCCCTGTGACAAGAAATATGTGGGGATGTCTGGAAGCTGAAAGCAGACCTTGGCTGTGGGGCCACTAGATACAGCCTTCCCCTGGCACCCACGTGGAGCCAGGTTTTTGAGGCCAGTCCTGTGAGTCTGCCTTAGAGGGAAGGGAATCCTCCTAGTTCTCTCACACCCCTCACTGCTCTGAGGTTGGCAGCCAGCCCTCAGTAAGATTTTGAAAAAGAAAGATAAGCACATGATAGGGCATCCAACCCTTCAAAAGAGTGCATCCAGAGAAGAGTACCTTCCCTTCCCACCCTGGCCCTGGTTACCCCTGCAGGTGACCAGTTCATTCCCTGTGTGCCTTTCCAGGCATGTGTGTAGTGTCCAATGCTGTCAGGTGCTTAGATACTTTTCCAGCATCATACCTACAGGTATATATGTCCTCTTTTTTTCTGCTTCATGTTCAAACTGAGGCAAATTCAAACACATACAGAAGTAAAATGTACAACGAACCCCCGCATTCCCGTAACCTAGTTTAAACAGTGATCAACTCTTGTCCAATCCTGTTTCATCCAGACCCCTCTCCCTCCCTTCCTACCTGGGCTTATTTGGAAGCAAATCCCAGCCTTGTTCATTACAATATAATTTCAACATCTAAAAGAGAGGCTCCCAGGGCACCTGGGCAGCTCAGTCAGTTAAGTGTCCAACTCATGATTTTGGCTCAGGTCATGATCTTGGGGTTATGAGATGGAGCTGTGCTTTGGGCTCTGATCTCAGCAGGGCACTGCTTGGGATTCTCTCTCTCTCTCCCTCTGCCCCTCCTCACCATGCTCACTCTCTCTTCCCCCCATTCTCTCTCTCTTTCTCTGAAACAAATAAGTCTTAAAAAAAAAATTAAAATACGAGAGGCTCCCTACAACCTATCCTTTCTGAAACATTTTTTTTCTTTCTTTTCTCACCCTTTGTAAACCGAAAGTGTGACATGTCAACTCTTGTTCTGTACTTCAGCTTTTATCACTCGCAGGATCTTGGATTTCTGCAGGATACTTTTAAAGGCATGAGAAGCTCAAGTGAGCACCTCCTCACACACAGACACGTTCTTCCCCTTCCCACCCAGCAACAGCAGATACTCTTACATGGGCACTGGACCAAGTGTCCCACCATTTCAGGTGCTGCTTTGTCCTTCCCTGAAATGGAAACACAAGGCTTTTTTCATAATTAGGATATAACTCACATACTACAAAATTCACTCTTTTAAAGTGTACACTTCAGTGGTGTGTAGTGAACTTACAAAGCCGCATAGCCATCACCACTCTCTAGCTACAGAACACTTTCATCACCCGCAAAAAGAAACCCAGCACCCATTAGCAGTCCCTCCCCCTACCTTCCCACCTGCCCCTGACAACTTCCAGTCTACTTTCTGTCTCTATGGATCTATTCTAGACATTTCATGTAAGCGGAATCCATCATACAACATGTGGCCTTTTGTGTCTGACTTCTTTCACTTGGCAGGCATAATCTTTTTCTTAGGGTGCATCAGAACTTCATACCTTCTATGGGTGGGTAATATTCCCTGTTATGGACAGGCCACATACTATGTATCCAGTCATCATCGATGGACATTTGAGTTGTTTCCACCTTTTGGCTATTATGAATAAGGTTGCTGTGAACATTTATGTACAAGTCTTGGCCTGACATATGTTTCTAGTTATCTTGGGTATATACCTAGATGGATCATCTGTTTGTTTTGTTTTGTTTTGTTTTTTGAGAAGCTGCCAAACTGCTTTCCACAACAGCTGTATCATTTTACATTCTCACCAGCAATGAATGAAGGTCCCATTTTCCCACGTCCTCCACAATGTTTATTATTTTTTTAATTATATCTTGAAGGTTTTTAAGGCAATTTTGAGAAATTAAAAACACTTTTCCTAAGAAGTCTTGGATGAAAATCAGGAAGAGGAGGGGCGGGAGGGGGAGTCTTGGAAGTGGAGACCCTGTTTGGTGCAGAAGGGACTTGAAGGAAAGGAGCCACCATTCTGTAGCTTGGATCTTAGCACAGCTGAGACAGGCTGGGAGGGGCTGGCCCAGGTATACTAATACCACCTAATTTATAGAGTTGTAAAGTGCACAGCGAAGTGCCTGGCATACAGTAGGTGCTAAATAGTGGATGTTAGTATTTCACAGAAGAGAGATAGGCTTCAGAGAGGGCAAGTTTCCTGCCCAACTACTGAGGTTAGAATTTGTTGGTGGGGAAAAAAAAATCAAGATCCAAAGGAACATACCAATTCCTAAATACAGAATTCGCTAATTTTATTATTGAACAAAAAAGTATCTCAGTAGCCTACAGGTGGCTGCATTCCTCAACTCTTTATATGGAATTAACGCTGTTGTTCTTATACACTATCTCGCTTTTAGTAAACAGTAAGCAGATATTCAATTTGTGCCCACGCTCACCACTCTGATGACTTATTAATCAGGCTTACTATGACACAAGCATATGCATTACCAGGACCTCCTTGGTCCTGAGTGTCCAACCCTATTTGTCACATCCTTCCACCTGCCTCAGTGAGGTTAGAGTCACACACACACACACACACACACACACACCCCAATTCTGGTCTACGGCAGATCCCTGGGTCCCAAATCACAATGATGGGTGGCAGTGCCGGGGTTCAAATCCCCTGTTCCTTCTCCACGGGCTGGTGGGCGCAGGTCCCGAAGCAACGACCCACCTCCGCTGTCGCCCGCAGGGCCCGCCCTCTGCCCTGGCCGAAGTGCACCGGCAGCGGCGGGACCTGCTGCGCCGCGCCTGCAGTCGCCACACGCGCCGGCAGCGCCTGCTGGGGCCCGAGGACCTGCGGCACGTGCTGGTGGACGACGCGCACGGCCTTCTCTACTGCTACGTGCCCAAGGTGGCCTGCACTAACTGGAAGCGCGTGCTGCTGGCGCTGAGCGGCCGCGCCCGCGGCGACCCACTCGCCATCCCCGCGCACGAGGCGCATGCGCCGGGCCGCCTGCCCTCGCTGGCCGACTTCAGCCCGGCCGAGATCAACCGGCGGCTGCGCGCCTACCTGGCCGTCCTCTTTGTGCGCGAGCCCTTCGAGCGCCTGGCGTCGGCCTACCGCAACAAGTTCGCGCGGCCCTACAGCGCGGCCTTCCAGCAGCGCTACGGCACGCGCATCGTGCGGCGCCTGAGGCCGCGCGCGCACCCCGACGCGCTGGCGCGCGGCCACGACGTGCGCTTCGCCGAGTTCCTGGCCTACCTGCTGGACCCGCGCACGCGCCGCGAGGAGCCCTTCAACGAGCACTGGGAGCGCGCGCACGCCCTCTGCCACCCGTGCCGCCTGCGCTACGACGTGGTGGGCAAGTTCGAGACGCTGGCGGAGGACGCGGCCTTCGTGCTGGGCCTGGTGGGCGCGTCCGGCTTGCGCTTCCCGGCGCCCCCGCCCCGGGCCAAGGGGGCTGCCGCCCGCGACCTGGCTGAGCGCCTCTTCCGGGACATCAGCCCCTTCTACCAGCGGCGCCTCTTCGACCTCTACAGGATGGACTTCTTGCTCTTCAACTACTCTGCCCCTTCCTACCTGCGGCTCCACTAGGCCATGGAGCCTCCGCGGGGTCCGTCACACTAATCGATGCCCTGGGGTCTCAGGTGGGGCCCGACAGTGCGCGCGTGCTGGGGCTGCCTGCCCGGACTCCACTCTGAGCACCACGGCCCCCCGCGTTTCCCTGCTTGGCCGGCCCACCGGGGCCTCCATCCCATCTGGCCAGGTTTGGGTGCCGCCCATCTCAGGCGGCTGTACACCCGTGCCTGCCGGTCACTTGATGCTTGCTTCCTCTGACTGCGCCATCTGGCAGGCACTCCTCCAGTCCCCTGGGTGGGGAAGCATTGAATTACTAGTATTTTTTTAGCTTGTGAGAGACCGTTTTGGGGGGGGGGGGGGGTGGTCAGCTTTGATCCCAGACCTGTTTGTGGTGCAGCAGAGCAGAATGCTGGTTCAGTGCCATCTGCGGCCTCGCCTAGTGCCCTCTTCACCGCCCCTGCCCTGGCACCGGACAGCCGTAGCCCAGGAGGAAAGCCCTGTGTCTTTGGGCTCAGGCTCTGGCCATCCTGGTCAGTGGGCATGGCCCTGGAGCCCACCCTGAGCTGCCTTCCACTCTGTCACTGAGCGGTGCTGCCTCCCCCCGTGGCTGGCCCCACCTTTGATCTCCATCTGGCCAGATCCTAAGTCTTCCGTGTGTGCCCACAGAGCCCAGAGTGCCCTATGGTGGCAGGTGTTAGAGGACCTTGGTGAGCTGGGGAGCTCATGTTTTTGAAATAAATGTTTTGTTTTGTTTACTTCTGACGTTTTGGACTTTCTCTGCTTTGTTTTGCCATTTGCTCTGCTACTGAGGGTGTCGGATCTTGGGCATCTCAACAAACCTCCGCGCCTCAGTTTTCCTTTGCTGCCAAAGGGCACAAGAATGCGGGGTGGTCGCAAAGATCAGACGAGAGAGGTGGAGAGCCTGGCTTTCCTTCACAGCAGCCCACACAGGTGAAGGGCTCTATGGGGAGTGTGGTAAGGAGCAGGTGCACCATGACAAGGGGTGCTAAATTCTGGCTGGAGGTGCAGTGGTGAAAACTCTGCAGGGAGTGGGGGGGCGGTTGGAATCTGACCTTTCAGTCTGCCTGGGCTAAAGATAAAAGCTGAAACCAGCTCAGTGGAACCCCGGGCCTGGGGCTGCCTCCCACCCTTCTGTGGGTGTGTGAGTGTGTGGGGGTGTGTGTGTGTATTTGCATTGTGTGTCAGGCCGCTTGGCAGTGAGGATACCCCCTTGTGGCTTTGGGAAGACAGCCAGCCCTGGGAGTCCCTTAGGAAGGACTGAATGTCCCCCTAGTGACTGTTTGGATATGTGGTGTCCTTTCTCAGTTTCCCTGAATGTAAATCGAAATGCCAGAACTTTGGGAAGACCAGGGCAGGATATGCCTGAGGCTTTGAGAAACAGAAATCAGAGCACAGCTGAGGAATGGTGGTTTGGCAGGGCAGAGGCCAAACCTGGGTTGTGGTGCCCCCACACCCTGTGGTGAGAGCCCACGAGCCTGGTTACAGGACCCTACTGGCCTGCGGGGGCCAGGCTGGCCAGGGACTGGCAGCTCAGTCCCATTCATGCCTCGGCCTTTGCTGATGTTGTTACCCCTGCCTGCAATGGATGCTTTCCCTTTCCAGGCCAGTTCTAGGGCTCCTCCTTCTCAGAAGCCTGTGGAGGCCTTCACGGACGCCGTGTCCATGGGGCCTGCCAGCAAGGGTCAGTGATGGCTGACCCCTGTGGACCTGGGAAGGGGCTGCCCCTGGGCTCCCCGTGAAGACTCACCCTGCTGGAGAGCGGTGGAAAGCCCAGGAGCCTGAAACAGCACCAGGACGAGGGGGGAGGAGCCAGGCCTGTGACACACCCGGAGGCTTGTTCCCATGCTCCCTCGTATGCCATACCCACAGTGTGTCACGTGCCACCTCACAGTCAGTTGTTCCACACACTTCCATGACACACACCTTTGTTCCAAGCTCCCTCAGTGCCCACGCAACCTTTGATGCGACCTGTTTACTGAAGTTATTGCCCATCCAGTACCCCCCCGCCCCAGGTCGTCACCATCAGAAGTCACCCTCTGGTTCTGCAATCACAGCACCTACTGTCATGTCCTTCAGCGCCTCCTGCATCCTGAAGCTTATCACATCCACGCACACTCCCTCATACTGCACACCCCCCATTGATGGCACTTGATGTCACACCCTCTGTCGTGAGTATGAGGGCCACACGCCAGGCCCGGGGCCTAAAGGCGCCTCTTCTCCCTCGTGTGGGCCGCAGGGAATTCCTCCCACTCTGGTGTCCTCTGACCGGCTTCCTCTCCGGCTGGCGCCGGAATGTGTCTGTCCTCGCAGGCTGACTGCCCGCCCCTCAACAGCAAGGTTCCAGCCAGGTCATCAGATGGCCCGAGGAAGACAGGGTCTCACGTGAACAGCTGGACACGACAAGAGGGGGTCTGGAGGGGTGCCCACTGGGCACCCTTCAGTGATTTATTCTACTAACAGGCTCCCCCAGTTCCTGAAGGAATCAAGAGCGCAAACTGAAGGTCACTTGGCATTTTAGCTTACTGGCAGCTGTCTTCCATTTCGTGGTTTTCCATCTCAGAGCCGAGGGGTGCTGGCCAGCAGCCTCCCCAGCAAGGAAAGGACACTGGTGGATTGGGTTACAAAGACTTGTTTAAAATGTTTCAGTGTTCTTCTGCTGTTTTTGGCTTTGTGAGGAAAATGTTTCCCGGATTTTTGTAGTTATGGTGTTGGTTTTTGTTTTGTTTTGTTTGTTTTTCAGTTTTCTGTGGTGGCTTTGTCATCCAGGCAGCTTCCTGGGAGGCAGAGTTCCATGATTTAAAATTTTGCTAAAATAAACCCCTGGTTCTTTGTCCGAATGCTGCTTCATGCGTTATTCCGCTTGGGGGTCTCAGCCGGCTGCATCTGCCGGCCTCGGCCACTGGCTGCATAGTCTTGGTGGGTGAAGGTGGAGGCGGCCAGGCCTAGAGCTGCTCAGCCTGCCGGGCTGCTACAGCACCCCACGAGGTCCTTGGGCCAGGCGTCGGGGTGCCGGCCTTCCCCGCGGGGCTGGGGAGCTCTTCCTGGGGTGCAGGCGCTGCTGTCTGTGGCAAAGGCTCAGTGACAGTGACAGATCATCTGGGTTCTCTTTGCGCAGGACAGCTCCCCCATGGAGCCATTGGGGGCACAGGTCCCTTCTCTCCCATGGCTCCCCCACCCCTAGGCTGTATGTAGCCCTTCTCCACATGGTCCATGCAAGTGAGCCATTCCCTTCTCGGGCAGCAGAATGTTGAAGACACAGACTGTGGACTGTACATTCCAGAGCCTTCCATTCTGGCGATGCTCCCACCACAAGGGAGACTGGGCATGACACCAACCCCCGCAAGCCACATCCCTGTGGCAGTAAACACTTCCAGGTAGCATTCCTGAAGGCTCCCAGCGGCTCCATCTGCCACCCTCCTAGAGGTTCCCTCTGGCCACCAGACCTGCTTGGCCTGAGCACAGGGATGTTGGGTGTGCAGGGAGTCAGTGTCCCCGAGCAGCCCTCAACCTACATCTGCTAGAAGATGGGGAGAGAAATACTACAGCTTTGGCCCCTCAGGTAGGAAACTATGTGCATCCATATGTTTATCTCCAGGGGAACTCATGATTCCATTGCAGACTTGCTGCTTTTATTTCATTCGTCCCTGAATTATGGGCAATTAGATTACTTTGTGTCCGTTAGTGTTACAGCGCAGCAGTAATATCCCTGCGTACATCCAGTCCTGCCTGGGTGGGGTATGACCGTCGGGTACATTCCTAGAAGACAGAGCCACACCCTGACCACACTGTTCACTGCTCTTGGTCCGCAGGAGGCTTCAAGCATCTGCTCATGTAAGTTTTACTGTCACTGCGCTCAGGGCACGAGGACAGTTGGGGATCAGGATGGCCTCCCTTAAATGCTGGCAGCGTGTCCCAGGTTGCTGTCTGGGCTGCCGTGATATGCTAACTCATCCCTCTGTTATCCAACATTCAGGGGTCGCCCATGTCCCTGTGAGGACTTCTGCAATGCATGTTCCTGAAGGGTTGGTTTTCTTTGAGGCATCATGTACATAGAAACATTCAGGACATAGCAGGACCAACAGATAAACCACCAGAGACCATGCATGTTTTAGGACTCACTCTGGCTGGGTGACTGGTATGAGTTTTACCTACAGGTCCAGCTTTCCCCACATGCATACCCTCCCGCCTACTTACTGAATGCTCAGGGGCCACAGCGAGAGTGGTGCAAGGGGGGACGTAAAGGGGCTCCTTTCTATAAGGGGCTGGTGGCCACAGGCAGTGGGACCCCTCGGGGAAAACAGGGTGGTGCTGGCTGGCATTCAGGAGCCTTCTGGCCAGTGACACCACTCCAGGGGAGAACGTGCGCCCAGGACGGGGCTGCGATGCTCAGAGCAGCTGTATCCACAACAGCAACAACTGGAAACCAAGCATCTGTCAGAAAGAGGATGGACAAGCTTCGTTTAAATGACTAAACGATTAAATGACACGCACCTACCGTCAGGTGACTTGTAGCAACTTGCTGTTGAAGACAAGAAGTTGCATGGAGCATAATACAATCTTACATCACTAAAAAAAAAAGAAAGAGAGAGAAGCAAACAATGTATTGTTTCGAGATACGAGTGTTAGAAGGATAGGAGAGAGCTGTGGTTACCCCGGGGAGAGGAAGGAAGAGGGGGGCGGCTGGAAAAGCAGCTCCTGGGCAGAGGGACGCATCGGTCACGTGTGTCACTGCACTCCTATCCTGCATCACAGGCATACGGTGTTGTATTTTGCAAATATCAAGTAGGACATAGCTGTGAACATTGGAGGAAAAGTCCTGAGACTTAAACACACTCTAAGTGGAGATTAGCCTGCCTCCGACCCCAGTGGGAGGAGATCCTGGGGTGTCTGCTTCCTTCTACCAACAGGCCAATACTGCCCGGTGCACAGTACACCCGGTTTGCTTCCCACCAGAGCCTGGATGGACAAGAGACCCAGGTCCCCCGACCTCCGCTCCCCATCCCCCAGGGGCAGTCCTCTGCCTCGAGCAGGCTTGAAACCACCATCCTGTTCCTCCCCAGGGCTTGGGGAGGGCCTCTTTTCAATTCTCACCAGGTACCTCATTCCACCTTCTTTCCAAGACAATAGGGCCACTTCCCCACCTTACTCAGTGCAGCCCCCTTGGTCATCTTCAGAGCCCCCACACCCTTCTCTCCTAGCAAGGGGGCTATCGTTACCATCCCTGATTGTATTTACCCTCCCAAGGACTCCAAGATGAACTTCTGGTCCCTCTCTCTGTAAAACAGAGAAGTGGGAAACCCTTACATCTCCTGCAGGCACCCTCCTCCAGGGGTGCTGCTGTGACAAATCCCAAAGCAATCCCACCATTCTCTGAATGATTCCATGCTACTTCTCTTTGAAGACTTTGTAATACACCAACAACGTGGTATTAGGCTCCTGTATTAAAATTTCAGAAAATAGGGGCACCTGGGTGGCTCAGTGGGTCAAAACCTCTGCCTTCAGCTCAGGATCGATCGCTGGGATCGAGCCCAGCGTTGGGCTCTCTGCTCAGCAGGGAGCCTGCTTCCCTGCTATTTGCCTGCCTCTCTGCCTGCTTGTGATCTCTGCCTGTCAGATAAATAAATAAAATCTTAAAAAAATTTTTTTTCAGAAAATATTAGGCCTGTCCCCAGGTTCCCCATCTACCCAGAGACACTGATTATTACCTACCACGCACACACAAACACATACACACACATGCACACACGTGCACACACACAATTTCCTAATGTACGTAAGATGGGAGCATATCTGACACACTTCTGTAGTGCTTTAAAAAAATCTGAATACACTTTGTAGATTGTTCCAGACCAGCATGTAAAGAGCTGGTTCTTCATTTCTGTGGCGGCCTGGCAGTTCAGGGTCTAGCCGTGGAAGATCAGTGAACAGCCCCCTAGTAGGGGACATAGGTGGTCTCCGATCCTTTGCTATGGCGCTGTAATGAATACAGTTGTCCACATATCCTTATCAGGTGTGTGAGTGCGCCCTCAGCAGAACTTCAACCTCTGTGAAATGACATTCCTGCTCTCTCTAAACCGCACACCAACCCCTCGAGGTTGAGCCTCACCTCATTTTATAGATGAGAAAATGGATGCTAAGAAAACAAAACACTCAGTCCAGGCGGAAATAGGATTTGAACCTGAAAAGTTTATTCAGACGGTGTGGCTGATGAGGCAATGAAGAGCCCCGTCAGAGCGGTTCCCCTCACTAGAGTTCACCTCTGTCAGTGGCTGCTGCCTGGAGCACCAGGGACCGGGGGCCGAGAGGGAGGCCACTGGGAGCCGGGCCCTGGGAGAGGCTTCTGGAGGGGTGGGTGGCGCGGGCACCTGGCCCGGGGAAGCGGCGGCTCACTAGCTTGAGTTCCCAAAGTTGGCTCTGAGGTGGCGGTGGTGGTGGAGGGTACAAGCAGGACGATGATGTAAAATCTGGGGCCCCAAGTCTAGAAAAGACACACAGAACCCCACGGGTCCAGAGACGTCGGCCAGGGCCACGACCAAGACTCTGCTCCCAGCCCAGACCTGTCCCAGGACCCCACACTGAGCCTCTGCTGCCCTCCTAGCCACCACCACGCCCCACCGATGTCCATGTCAGAACCCCCACAGGGTTCCCATGCGGGGCCTCAGACATGGCCAGGACTTGACCCACGAGGCCTGCACAGACACCGAGTGAGTGTCATCCTCATGCCTTCCAGTAGCTGCACAGCCTTCAGCAGGGGCACAAGCGCTGTATGGCCATTTCCCTAGTGATGTCATTGCTCCTCTCCTAGTCAGTTTTTTCCAACAGCTACATCAGGTCTGGGCATGCCACTGTCCTGATCCCTAGACTTCAGTGGCTCCCTCAGATTAGCATTCTCTGTCACCTGTCCCCTCACCATCCTGAAAAGGAGAACTTCAAGTTCCCTAAAGGGGACATCATTCTATCCCACCTCAGGACATTGGCACTTGCCTCCCACTGCCTGGAGTTTCTCCTCCTACAAGCTCCCTGCTTCTCACCTGGGCCCCCATGCCCTCTCCTGTCCTCTCTCCCCATCCCCTCTCTGCCCTACTTTGGCATCTGCGGAACATGGCCCTCCTGCCCGACCGTTCCTGCTCTGGTTGATTCCCCAACAGAAGGCTGGTGGGAGTTCCAAGGGTGGATGATGAGGTGGGGGATCTCTCCCAGCTCCCCACTACTTTGATACCTTTGGCAGAGGCCCCGCAGCCACAGCCCCCTCCCTGCCCTAGGGCTCTTGGCCCCTGCCCATCTGTCCCACCCAGGGGAGGGATCGGCTCCCCGCCGGTGCTGGGCCCTGGTGGGTCGAGGAGCCCCCCTGCCTCCTGAGCTCCCTGACACATTGCCAACAGCTTCAGTTTGTCCTCCAGTTCTCAGCTCCGTGTCACCCTCCAGAAGTGCTCTTCCCATGACAGTCCCGCCGCGGCAGGCCCCAGCACTGAGTCTGGGCCTGTGCGTATAGTCTGACTGGTCCCCGCCGGACCCCGGGCTGGCAGCTGATCCCATTCTGAAGAAGCAGAAGCTGAGACTCAGCCCTCAGCCTCTGCAGCTCAGCATCCCGTTCCGACATTTGGAGCAAACCCACAGCCAGACGAGGGAGGGAACGTGAGACCCAAGACAAGAGTCAGGGCCAGTGTGGGCAGAGAAGAGGCATGAATCTGTGTTCCTGCACATGTGTGTGTGCGTGTGTGCACACACGCACACAAGTGTGAGTGTTTATGTTGCCTTTCTGGGTCTCAGGTGTGGGTCTTTCCAAAGGTGTTTGGGTGTTTGAGTGTATGTATGCCCATGGTGGGGGGGGCATTTGTGAGGACATGGTCAGTCTAGAAATCGCTAGCATGAGGGTCCCCGTCCGTGCCTCCGCCTCAGAGCAGGCTGCAAGGAGACCAAAAACTTGCTGGCTCTTCCTCTGTTTTGCCTCTGCTGTGTGGAAGGATGGTGGCTAAGCTGCCTCCTCAGGCCTGTTTCCACATGTGTGGAATGTGTACAGGGGCATCTCCAGGTAAGACCCTCTCCGAGGGTCCTGTGCAGCCTCTCCCACAAACTGCCTTGCTGTGGGAGGCACCACTGGAATTTGGTGTCTCTTTTCTGAGCCTCAGTTTCCTCAGCTTGGAAGTGCAGCCTGCCAGGAGAGGCACGTGTGTGTGTCCCTGTGCAGATACGGGGGCAAGGGCCAGCAGCTTGAGTGTGGGCGGTGGGCAGTGGGCTGCAGCGGATGTCGGCATCCCAGCCTGTGACTCACCCTCTGACTGGGATGGATCTCGTTGGCACCAGCGTCTTCTGCAGGGGCAGCTGGTCCCTCAGTGAGGTGGTCATCTTCGTGACCTCCCAGGGCTGCAGGAACTCTGTAGTGGGTTCCGTCAGCCAGGAGAACCTGCAGTGGGCACCTGGCATCTTTAGGGAGCTTGCGGCCACCAGCCGTACAAATAGCTCTTGCTCGTCTGGAACTTTCTACACGCCAGTCATCATTCCAAGTGCTTCATCAGCACTAACCTGACGCCAACTCATAACCATTCATAGATGAGGAAATTAAGGCACAGAGAGGTCAGGTGATTGGCCCAAGTTCACACAGCTAGGAAGCCCTCCAAAGTTGCTACATTTTTTTCAGGACCCATCAGTGCATTGATGCTGCTGGCCGAGGCCCCAGAGCTGCCCAGTCTGGGGTTCTCTGCTGGTTCCCGAGTGCCCTGGGGCTTTACAAGCTACACCCCACTCCAGTCTGACCCCATAACACCTTTGGAGGGGCAGCTGTTCATGAATGTGCTCCTCAGGTGGTCCCGTGAGGCCACTGGCTCAGAGGGAAAGAGCCGGCTAAGCTCTGGAATGGCCCCAGCGGTTCCTGGCACCTATCTAGAAGCCCTCAGCTCAGATTGGGAAGGAGGTGAAGATGAACCCCAGACTGTCACAGAGCTGCTGAGGGAACTCTCTGTGGATGAGAAACCTCCTCCCGGGTCCACTCTTTACACCCCTGGAATGCGCTTTTGGTGTGGTCTTCGGGGGGAGGCAGGACTTGACCCTAGGTGTGTCGGGATCTAGTACCTGTACGGAAACTTCCTGGCAAATTCTTCCTGGGCCTTGTTTCTACTCTTCTTACACTGGGGGCACTTCTTGGGGTCCTTTGAGTTCATCACGGAAGGGGGTTAAGCTGTGGCACACTTTTCAGCCATGGCTGGAAGGCAAGAGGAGGCCCGTCAGAGCAGGGAAGGAGGTGGGAAGAGCCAGGCTGGACCCAGACCCAGCACTCAGCTCCCCCTCAAGACCACAAAGGGAACAGAGGATGGGGCCCCGGCCCACCTCCCAGGGCTGAGGGAGATCTGGGTCATGTTGGCCTGTCACCCATGCCCGACCTCACCCACTGCAGCAGTCATACACGCTCTCACATGTGAGTATGAGTGTGTGTGTGTGTGTGTGTGTGTGTGTGTGAGAGTGTGTGTGTGTGTGTGTGTGTGTGTGCGTAACCACCACTTGGGATGGTTCTCAGCTGAACAGCCCATCTCAAACTCTGGCAACCATGAATCTGTGCTCGTCTCTCTATTGCTGTGACTTTACAAGTGTTAGACCAATGGAACCACCCAGGAGGTATCTTTTAGAGCTGGGCTTCTTTCTCTCAGCATAAGCCCCCCACCCGTGGGAACCCACCCAGCTGTGTGTATCAGCAGGTGGTTCTTTTTCAGGGCTGAGTAGTACTCCACGGTGGGGCTGTGCCACACTTTGTTCAACCCTCAGCTGCTACAGGACATCTGGGTAGCTCCTGGTGTGGGGCTATGGCAAATAAAGTTGCTGGAAAAATTCATGTCCAAGTGTGTGCATGCAAATAAGTATTTGTTTTCTGGAATATAGAAGTGTGCTATCGCTGGGGCATATGGTAAGTCCATTTTTAGTTTCGAAAGGAGCTGCCAAAAAACCTTCCAGAACTGCTGTGCCATTTTCCGTGCCCACCAGCACACACAAGTGACGGTCTTCTTAAAGCAGCTGGTGCAGAGGCAGGCAGGTCAGGGCGAAGAACAGTGGGGTTAAGGCCTGACTGCTGGTGTTTCCTTTGCCATCAAATTGTGCAACCCTCACCCGCCAACGGCTGTGCTAATACATCTTCGCTGTGGTCTAAACAGCCATCGTGTTGTGAACGTGTGACCTCAGAGCCTCTTGTGACAGTGCCAGCCTCCTGCCAGAAATGCCAACAGCTCCTCTTGTGGCCCAGGCCCTCAGGCCCACCAGGGAGCTTCCTGCCCCTCCACGTACTAACCACCTGGCAAAGAGCTTTGCTCACAGTGCAGCCCTCTACACCAGTGCTGGCTAGTGGGGGCCTCTGTGGTCTCTGACCCTGGACCGTCGTGGCTCTTATAAGGACCTTGGGATCCCCTTCAAGGGCCTGGCTCCATAGCCCTTCACTATCAGGAAACCCGGGCAAGTCCCTAACCCCGGCCCTCCTCCTGCTAAGAAGCCAGGAGAGGGTCCTGGTCCAGGACAGGTGCCTGTGTCACAGTGGGACGCACAGGCCCTGGGCTCAGCGAAGTGTCTGCTAAGCTCCATTGCATGACCTCATTTAATGTTCTCCCCCTGATGGAAAACAGATTATGGTCATCCCTGTTTTCTGGGAAAGGAACCTGAGGCTCTGAAAAGTTAGGTGCTTTGCCTATACCCCCACCCACCTGGTGAGTAGGGAATGAGGTGCGGTCCAGAGTGACCATTAGAGCACTGCAGCCTCAAACAGTCCTGAACGGGGCTGGGAGAGGTGACCATACCAGCAACTGACCAGAGGATACGTCACCATTACAGGAACCCAGTGGTCTGGAGGAGGTGGGGAAGGGGCACCCCTCAGTCCCACCCCATACCTACCTGCAGATCCCTAAGCCATGGGCGTGACCCCACAAACTGACATGGCTGAATCTGTCTCCCTCAGGGGCAGAAGGGCCATTGCAGAAGCCAGGGAAGGACTCTGACACCAGGGCCATCTGTCCCTGGTGCCATCTTGCTCCTGCTTCCTAAGCTGATCTGGGACTGTCCTTCCCAGCCACCTAGGCTGCCTCCCCAAATCCTGGTATGACCATTATGGGGGCTTGGCTCAGGGTGTGCTGGCAGTGTCAGGAAGACACCAGATATGAGAGCTGTTATGCCCCTTAACACCCCCCTCCAACGCTGTCCCCCCACCCCCGCCACAGCTACAACACTGTCTTGGTTCAGTGATATAGAGAGGCACAGACCTGGGTATACAGAGCCTCCAGCCAGGAGGGAGTGGGTGAGTGGATCATCCAAGCTGCAGGCTATTTACAGGCTGGCTTATGTGACACCAGAAGGGCAGGAGCTGGCCATGGTCCTGGCTGGCATGCTACCACAGGACTACTGGCCCTAGGGCCCCACTGGGCCAGGCCCACAGGGTCATTGCGACATCAAAAGCCCCTGAAGTCACAATCAGTGACACTGCGGTTGCTGAACCATGTGGCTTAGCCCAGAGTGGCTGTAGAGAGGGGAGGGAGTGCACAGGGCTTACTGGCATTCCCACACCCAGTACCCTGGGCTGAGCATCCACCTGAACACATTCCACAGCAGGGATGGCTCCCATGCAGATTCTGGGAACAGAAGAGATGCCCCAGAAATAGCTAAAACCTTACTTTGGTTGCAGAAAAGTGATCCTGGCCGACTCTGACCTGAGCCCTCGCCACAGCCCAGCAATCATGGGGGTGAGGGTATGAGAGTTTAGGGCAGGACCTCAAAGACCAACTTCCTGTCTCCCAGTCTGGGCCACTGCCTTCTGTGTGGCCTCAGGCAAGCAATTCAGTTTCTCTGTGTCTGTATCCCAGACTACATAGGTGTTTTGAAAAAAATCGCTCTGGTGGCAGTGTGGAGAAAAAAGTGAATGGGGCCAGAAGCAGGTGTGGGTAGACCAGGCGACCACCAAAGGCAGTAACATGGATGAGGGATGGTGGCAACTTGGAATGAGGTGGTGATGGAGATGGAGTGAGGGGCATGGATTTGAGAGATTTCAGGAGACCCAGTTAACACAGACTGGTGGCAGAGGCTGTGGGTGGGCCAACGAGGACTCTGGGTTTCTTTTATTGCCATGGGATGGGACTGGAGTAGGCCTTGGAGGGAGACCACGGGTTCACCCTTGGTCAGGTTGAGTTTGAGAGGCCTTTGAGGCCTCCCTCCACTTAGGCACTTATATATCTGAGTCTGAGCTCCAGAGAGGTGACGTCTGGGCATATAGTATGTTTTGGTGTCACTGATGTATCAGTGGTAACTGAAGACAATCATCTGAATGGGAGGTGGTATGCAAGAAGTGAAGAGGGCATTGGGATGAGTGTTAAGATACCCAATATTTAATGATCAAGTAGATATTCAATGCCTGTGACCCAGACAGAAGCATGGATAGAGAGGACAAAGTCAGTGGTGTCATGAAAGCAAGGGGATGATCCCAGGTGCTATGGGCATTTCATCTGTGCCACATGTCCCCAAGCCACTCTCCATTTTCTCTTTTGCTTTCATTCTACTAATGTGATGCATTACATTGATTGATTACATTGCTTTCTTATTATAAAGCACCCTGGCTTTGTGGGCATAAATCCCACCTGGTCATGACACATAATCATTTTAATATGATGCTGAATTTACTTTGATAGTATTTTGTTGAGGATTTTGGAATCTATATTCATAGTTTTCTTGTCTTGTAGTGTCTTTTTCTGACTTTGCTATCAGGGTACTCACGACCTCATAAAATAAGGTTGGAAGCATTCCCTCCTTTTCAACTTTTTGGGAACTTTGATGAGGACTGATGTTAATTCTTTGTAAAGTTTTGGTAGAATTCACCAGTGAGTCCATCTGGTCCTGACATTTTCTTTGTGTGTGTGTGTGTGTGTGTGTGTGTGTGTGTGTGTGTGTGTGTGATTCTTAGGGGTTTGTCATTGCTCTGGATAGAACTTCCAGTACTATGTTGAATACAAGTGGCAAAAGCAGGCAACCTTGCCTTGTTCCTCATCTTAGTGGGAAAGTTTTCAGTCTTTTTACCACTGAGTTGGACATTAAGTGTGAGGTTTTCATATATGGTTTTTATTATGTTGAGATAGGTTTTTCCTATTACTAGTTTGCTGAGTGGTTTTTTTTTTCAATCAGGGAAGTGTGTTGAATTTTGTCAAATGCTTTTCCGGCATCAGTTGAGGTCATTGTGTGGGGTTTATTTTCATTTTTCTTTGGGGTGGATTTCATTTTTCTTTGGATATATTTGATTGCTTTTCATAAGTTGAACCATCCTTGCATTACAGATGTAATTTTCACATGGTTGTGGTGTATAATCCTCTTATGTTGCTGAATTCAGTTTGCTAGTATTTCACTGAAGATTTTTACATCAATATTCATAAGGGATTATCAGTCATAGCTTTCTTGTAGTGTCTTCTGACTTTGGCATCAGGGAAATGCTGGCCTCATAGAATGAGTTAGGAAATATTTCCCCCTTTATAATTTTTTTGGAAAAGTTTGGAACGGATTGATATTAGATCTTTAAATCTTTGGTAGAATTCAGTGAAATCATCTGTTCCAGGGGTTTTCTTTGTTGGGTGGTTTTTGATTACTGAATTAGTCTACTTACTACTTAAGTCTATTCAGATTTTCTATTTCTTCATGATTCCGTCTTGGTAGGTTGTGTATTTCTGGGAATATGCCCATTTCATCCAGGTTATCCAATTTGTTAGCATATAGTTGTTTATGGTATTCTCTTCTAATCCTTTTAATTCTGCATAATCAGCCATCAGTAGTTAATAGCAGCAACAGGCAGTAAAAAAAACAAAAAAACAAAAAAACAAAAAAAAAACAAAAAAAAACAAAAAAAAAACCTGAGTTTTGAAGGACAAGGTCCTATTGCCTCAGTAAGCCACACCATGAACACAGGCCCCTGTGCCTGTGGCTGCCTGCCATGGTGCTGGAAACATGGAAACATAGAAGTTCACTAAAATTTACAAGCCTCTTCACCAAGCTCTCCCCTAGATGTTGTTGGTGTTTGATTAAATTTTAGAGCTCCCAAACACTTGCTTCAGACCATTCCTGCCAGCTCAGTTATTCTTCCAGTAGAAGGATGGATTCCTGGAGTTCCTACTCTACCATTTCCATAATGCCACTTCTGTTCATGTATCTTTATTGT